AAAATATTAATAGTCAAAAAACAATTACACTACGAAAAAAAAACAAACAGAAAACATTTTTTATTACACATTTGCAGTAGGCGTTCCAAAATCACGTCGAGGTTGATTAAGAACATTAAAATTAACATTAAATACAATCAAACAACCTGTAGAAAGACCTGCCATGATATATCTAAATTAAACAAAGAAATATATATATATATATATTTTTCTGCATACATAAAAATTTATATAAAATATGATAGTGAGAAAAAAAAAACAAAAGAACTCTTTAATTAGTTATTATATAATAATCATTTGTTTTTACTTTTGATCATGAGTTATTGCTAATGAACGAATACTAGCATCACATTGTGGATAAGCATAAACAGGTTGTAAATCATGTGTTCGAATGATTTGTACAAAACCTAGATCACCACCAATAAGTGTATATTGTCTACCAACCTTTAAAACCATACACTAGACAAAAATAAAAAAAAATAATTATTTTTGTCTTTTTTTTTTGTTTTGCTTTTACTTGAATAGTTTCATCTTCAAATATTGCTTGTCTCATTAATTTTCCATTTAATGTATATAAACATAATTTTGAACGATCATAACAAACAATAATATCACCATCATTTGATGGTGATAATAGACGTGGTGTAGATATTTTTGATGGATTTTCAAATGAACGTAATATATCACCATTAAGTGTATGTTGAAGTACAAGACTTTGTTCACTACCACTTAAAACAATACCAAGTTCAGCTGATATCCATAAACATGTTATTTCTCTATCATGACCAGTTAAAATTGCTGCTGGTGATGGATTGATTTCTATATAAAAACAAAAAAAATCTCTCTATATATATATTGTTCAGTGTCTGTCTGACGTCTCTGTGCCCAGGATCCAAGGTTAAAGGTTAAAAGTCAAATAGTCCTATAAGCGGAAGGCCTTAAGGGCTATTATATAGTGAAATCCATAGATCCTCAAGGGCTATTATATGGTATATCTATAGGACATGAAGAGCTATAATATGGGAATAGCCATAGGTTCTCAAGGGGATAAGGCTACAATAGCTACAAG